GGGGTGAGGGAGAAGGTATGGGGGCCGGTGTAGCACTTCCTGCGGTTGCAGGGAAAAGTGCCGGGTGTGGTGGGGCTGGAGGGGAGTGTGGAGCGGAAAAGGGAGTCACGGAGAAAGTGGTCCCTCCGGAAAGCAGATAAGGGTGGGGAGGGAAAGATGTCTTTGGTGGTGGGGTTGGATTGCAGATGGCGGAAGTGTCGGAGGATGATGCGTTGGATCCAGAGGTTGGTGGGGTGGTACGTGAGGACGAGGGCGATTCTTTTTTGGTTCTTATTGCATGGACGGGGTGTGAGGAATGAGTTGCGGGAAATGTGGGAGACACAGTTGACGGCGTTCTCGACCAGTGAGGGGGGGAAGTTAAGGTCCTTGAAAAACGAGGACAACTGAGATGTACGGGAGTGGAATGCCTCATCCTGGGTGCAGATGCGGCGGAGGCAAAGGAATTGGGAATAGGGGATGGCATTTTTGCAGGAAGGTGGGTGGGAGGAGGAGTATTCTAGGTAGCTGTGGGAGATTTCACAAGCTTCAAAATCTCCCCTCCCCCTACCGCATCCCAAAATCAGTCCAGCTCGTCCCCACCTCCCTAACCTGTTCTTCCTCCCACCTATCCCCTCCTCCCACCTCAAGTCGCACCCCCATCTCCTACCTACTAACCTCATCCCGCCCCCTTGACCTGTCCGTCCTCCCTGGACTGACCTATCCCCTTCCTAACTCCCCACCTACACTCACCTTTACTGGCTCCATCCCCGCCTCTTCGACCTGTTTGTTTCCTCTCCACCTATCCTCTCCTCTATCCATCTTCTATCTGCCTCCCACTCTCTCCCTATTTATTTCAGAACCCCCTTCCCCTCCCCCATTTTTGAAGAAGGGTCTAGGCCTGAAACGTCAGCCTTTCTGCTCCTGTGATGCTGCTTGGCCTGCTGTGTTCATCCAGCTCTACACCTTGTTCACTCACAGCAGAGATGGCGTCACACGACAATGGCAAGCCAACCAGTTTACTAAGTACAATTGCATTTGTCCTGAAACTGTTCTGTCCACCCCATCTCCCAGTTTACACAGAAATGAGTCAAACCAAACTTAATTTACAGTCATAATGCAATTTGTTTTCCAAATGATTTAATTAAACTGATTTTCCCACAGCTGGTGAATAAATTACATGGCTTGAAAAGCGCATTTGCACAAGCTTCATCTGCATCTGTATTAAATGGTTTGATATGATTTTTAGCCGACTCCATCTTGTCAGTAGAGCAAACACTGTGTCAAAATGTTTTCCCATGGGGTATTCTGGCTATTAAATTATTAAAAGTATGTTCTTTGAATTTGCCTTTGAGTTTTTTTATTGCTTCAACAGTGAGGGAAAGGAGTGAATGGTTCTTACAGAAGCGCAGGTTGTACCATGTCAAATAAGAGACCTATTGTACAACTCTATCATCTTATTGTAATACAAAGAAATACTCTTTACATTTTAGCAAATACCCCTTGCTCCTCCAGTGTAAAATGTGCACCAGGCCATTTGGATTATCAGGTTCAAGATTAATTCTTAATCTATGACAAATTGACTGATCTTAGCCAGGCTGGAAATGCAAGCATCTTCATTATCCTTAATGCTGTTTGGTTTATGGAGAGTGTGAATTAGCTCGGCTTTCTCATTTTGATAAACCATCATAAGACATAAGAGCAGAAGTAGGCTATTCAACCTATTGACTCTGCTTTTTACCTTAAATCTTCACCTTCTTGCTATTTAGTCTTGAAACTGCTAGTTGTCCAGCAGCATCTTTTCCAATGAAGTCAGTCTTTTCCTGACTGCCATTCAATGAGATCATGGCTCATTTGATAATCCTTAACTCCACTCTGGTCTTTTCCCATAACCTTCGGTTCCCTTACGGAGTAAAAATCTCTGCCTTGAATATTTTTAATGTGGCAATCACAACAACCCTCAATGGAAAAAAATTCCACGTATTCACTACCGTGTGTGGGAAGAAATTCCGCCTCTTCTCTGCGTTGTGTGTAACCCCGTTATTCTGAGATTATGCCCTCTAGTCCTGGAGTCTCCTACAAGGGGAAACAACCTTGCCACGTCTACCCTGTCAAGTGCTCTGAGAATCTTGTATGTTTCAATAAGGTCACCTGTCATTCTTCAATATTCCAATGGGCTGAATGCTAAATTTTGGCATGTGTTCATTGTATCAGATTGAACTGAGTAATTGAATCTGTTCTCAGCGTCCCGTCCCCATGGCTACTGTCTCACATCACTTATGAAGAATAAGACGAGGGATCTGCTGTTTGTTTTTAAATATGCCACAGCAGCAGAAGCCTTTTACTGGAAGGGTGGGGGAAGTTGTTTTTTAAAACAGACAAATGGAGATACAACTATATGGATGAACATAAAGTAATGTTGGTGATATGAAACTCAGCCTCAGGATATCTGAGGATGCTTTCGAACAAGTGTCATGCCGAGAGATGTTGCCAGTGGTATGAGTTGCACTCTTCTGCCTTTTGTTCTGTAGATATTTTTAATCAATCAGTCTGTTTAGATGTGTTATGACACACCTCTGGAGCACGTGAGACTGGAAGCCAGATGCCTTTTGGGTCTTTTGCTCTGTTTGTGGTCTAGAGTCAAATCTTCACCTTCTTACTGTTCATTTTTGATACTGTGAGTTAACTGGCACAGCTTTTCCAACTCGGTCCATGACTGCCAGTCCTGGCAATGCTGGACTAGGATGTGGGCCCTTCTCAATCATTTTGCCTCAAATTTTCTTCACCTGAAGACTCATTTGTGGGATAAAGCCTCCAAAGAAACCTCATTAAATTTAATGTTTTACTGTCTTGCTGGCCACAAAACAACACTGTACAAACCTCAAGGGATCTCTCTCCCACTGCAACTCTCTCGTACCTCT